TGGGAGTAACCCACGAAACTTGAATTGAATTTTGCGGTTTCTTCACAAAATTGAATCCAAGATATAATCTGTTCCAGAACTGCAAAAATACCTTTATGATATCGAAAAAACATTAAGTTCGAACTTTTAATGCCCTCCACCATTGGGTAAAGAAATACCAATAATTCATGCATACCCATACCTATACCAATAATTCATGCATACCTATACCCATGGTACAATGAAGAGAAGGTAGGTCAACTTTGAAAAAATTGCAAGTATAGAGGTGTACCTGTTTGGCTTGCAATGTCAGAATTAGTATAAAACAATAAAAAATCAAACAACTTGTTGCATTTATTTTGAATAAATAATTAAAAACCGCGATAACTGAATGAAAGGTCAACACTTGTTTTCAAAATATATCTCTAAAGGATTGTTTCGCTACAAAAACTCTAGATTTTGTCGATGCATGCGTTGAAATGAACATTTTGAAAACACCCGAATTTGAATTTTTTCTGAACAATTTTTTTTGTTATTGAAAAGAAAACACATACATAAACAAAAAAAGATGACGTATTAGGCCAAGAAAATAAAAAAATTAAAATCATATGGTTTCATAGCCCTACCTTGATATCATTGTACCATGCCTATACCCATGGTACAATGATATGAAGGTAGGGCTATGATACCATATGATTTCAATTTTTTTATTTTCTTGGCTTAATATGTCATCTTTATTTGTTTACGTATGTGTTTTCTTTTCAATAACAAAGAAGTGTTCAGAAAACATTCAAATTCGGATGTTTTCAAAATGTTTATTTCATCGTATGCATCGACAAAATCTAGAGTTGTTGTAGCGAAATAATCCTTTAGAGATATATAGAACCTGGTTTTGAAAAGAAGTGTTGACCTTTCATTCAGTTTTCGCGGTTTTCAATTATTTATTTAAAATAAATGCAACAAGTTGTTTGATTTTTTATTGTTTTGATACTAATTCTGACATTACAAGCCAAACAGGTAGACCTCTATACTTGCAATTTTTTCAAAGTTGACCTACCTTCTCTTCATTGTACCATGCCTATACCTATAAATACAATGTTTCGCCACCGGAGCAAAAATACATTATGACTTACAAATACCGATTTTTTTACAAATATGTGGAAAAATGTGGCAAAAATCATCAATATCGGGAGGTACCTTTATATGGCGGGTATACCAAAAACTGGACCGATATATCTCACTTTTAATACCAAACATCCTAGACACAATATAAATTGTTCTGCCTGATTTTGTAGCTCTACGTCAAATAAAGTGAGCTGTATCGCGATTTCAACAGACAGACAGACGGACATTGTTATATCGACTTAGAATTTTATGGTGATCATGAATACATATATATATACAGGGTTACCCATATTCGACGGACCTTTTCGGCCCATTCCAATCGACGAGGCTTGTCCGCAGGCAACATTCTTTGCGTCAATTGAATTTTGTACGGGAACAAATGCAAATCAATGCGAATAATCCGTTGTAAAGTGGACCGAGCCATGCCCAACTGCTGAGAACGGCGTTTTTGGGATGTTCTTGGGGACCTCTCAACACTGGCTCGTACGGCAGCGATATTCTCGGCCGAACGCCTTGGTCGACTTTTATATGGCCTCTTCGGATTAGAAAGAGCCTTACCAGTCGAAAATTTTTCGTATAAACGCTTAATGGCGTTCTTAGAAGGCGCACTTCTCACATTTTTTAATGTTTTAAAAGCACGTTGAGTTTTGACAATTGACTTCTTCTGTTGAATGTAAATTTCAGAGCGCTCGCGTGGCGTGTATTGGTTCATGGTAAAAATCTGCTTGGACTGACGCTTCAAACGCGGTATGTCATTAAGCGATGTGACATCTCTGTCAAAAGTTATGGCGTTGCCAGATGGGTCCGTCGAATATGGGCAAACCTGTATATACTTTATGGGGTCTACGACGAATATTTAGGGATGTTACAAATGAAATAACAAAGTTAATATACCCTCCTTTTCAAGTAGATTCTTGCTGGTTCTGGAACAAAGCTATAGTTAATATTGAAATAACTTGAAATTATTTTCATTTTTATTGAAAACGGTACGCACATATACAAGTTGTGTATATGTTTTGACAGAATAGGGTCACCAAAAGAGGAAAAAATTATTCAGGGTATGGCAATGTAGACAATTAGTGTGTTCGGGTAGATCATTCACATAGAAAATAAATGAGAGGGGTCCTAAAACGAAAGCCTGTGGAACACCGGAATGAAGAGGCAGAAAATACGATTGGAACTTTGAACAGATCAAATAAAATCCCGTCACTATGCTTGCCAATATTAATATCTTCACGAATGCGATCAGTGTCAGAAAGAAGTAAATGCGACGTACTATGTGCTGCTCAAAAAGCAAACTGAGAGACACAAATATATTTAGAACAGTGCTGAATGATTTGGTCCTTAATAACATGCTCAATGATTTTTGATTAAGGTGGAAGAATAGAAATGACATGCAAATCACCAGGTCCACATTTTTTGTTTTTGGTAGTGGTAAGGCCCGCGCTCTATTCCAATCTTGAGGAAATGTTGAAGTCATTAAAATACAATTAACTAAATTAGTATCAACACTAAACGTCTCCTCAAATTGAGAACAACCAACAGAACATCGCCGTTAATTTCAAATCTCACACCTTCACCACCAACACTCCCGATATTTTCTAAGAATTTCCTCATATCTGAAAAATCAATTCCACTAAATATCTTAGAAATATATCTCATCCGTGCCTTTCGCATTACATTTTTAGCCTTGTTACGATACTAGCAGTAAGTTATTCAGTTAAAATCAGTTCTATCACTAAGAAATGCAAAGTAAGCAAGATCCCTAAGTGGGTTTGCAAAACGAATTTTTCTGGAATTCATCCGTTTATCCTCATGAGTATTAACAGGTTTCCTAACTTAAGAGGTTTGAGACAAGAATACATTTAGGATTAACATCAGTAGCATTTTCATATCATTCAAAATCATACGCATTTAAGAATGAAATCACACGATCCCAATCAATTCCAGCATAATTACGGCATTCTATAAAGTCCGTGTGGGTTTCATTATCAAAAAACAAAAGATGTTTATAATAAGCAATGGTCAGAAATACCAGGTGATTAAGCTTGATCAGAATATGCTATGAGGGAAATATCACTAATAAGCATATAAGCCATAAGTGATGTTGATCTACACCGTAAGTCAAAATGCGTTTATTTTGAATTATGGACAACTGATTAATTCAAGCGAGAACGCAACGATCGAAGCAAATCACATCCGCAAGAATTAAATAAGTTAATATTAAAGTCACCAACAGCAATAATGTTTGAAAAGCGAGAATCAAAGGATCATGGTGACCAAATTCAAAATCATCCAAGTTACCTGTCGGCAAATATACGACACCAAATAAAATGCTTAGACCATTAACTTCCAAGATTATAAAAAGAGATTTACAACTGTGCACAGAAACAGAAAATACAGATATAAAGTTGAGCCCATCATCCCACCTGCTTCACACCAGGGGGTTTTGTAATTGATTATCCAACGTTTCAACTACACTGTTCGATGTCAAGGCAAGTTCGTGTTTAGTCCTCTTCTTATATATGTGGCGTGCAATGCTATTATACTATGTATGTATGGAACTCATACTGATTGTCGACAACTATAAAGTTTCCTCCAACTATGGGGAAGAGTGAAGCTTCAAAAGTCTTTGCTACTGACGACAAAAGCGAAATCGGCCTGTATGATTCCCCTTTGCTGTCATTCTTCATTCTTGCCTGGCTTCAGTAACGGGAAGCCAGGCTTCGAAGACCATGTAATGACTTTTACGAGATGCTCAACTCTCTGATTGTCATCTCGGCAGAAAGAGATCTACTACAATCAAATACTCTTTGTTTCGTCCTTTAACTATCCGTATGCTCGAACTGAGGTCCCATCATCCTTTCTACAATGGTTCAACAGCGATTTAATTTACTCTTTCGGCTCAAATGCCACAATACTTCAGATGATCCAAACCACCTCCTGTGCTCCTGTACCAAACTGTTAACATCAAATACCAGTTCTCGAATTCTGTGATCAGTAGGATAACGGCTCATCGCACTCATTCGCTGGTTTCACTGCATCTGCTAAGATATTCATGCTATCCGTGCTAAAGGAAAGTACCGAGTTCAGAGGTGATGAAATCGGGCGCTCTGCTTATGAAGACAGTTTTGCGGGGATAGTCTGACCCAAGCGAATGGCATGTTGTCAAGTCATTTGTCAGACCAGATGACACAATAGTTATGTCTTGTGAACAGTGAAACTCTCTTTTATTTGGCCGAGAACATCCTCATTTAATACGCGACATTTGTAGCAACAATTGACTTTGCCTTTTCGTAGGACGGAATGACTTAATTCTAAGGAGGCATTGAAATACCCCAATACCTGTTAACAGCCATTAACCGGAGGGATGTGGCCTCTCAAACGGCTTTGATTCGCTGGTCTATGAAGTTTTGACAAAGCAAAAAGAACCAAGGTATGGGTTTTTGTTCCATCACGCACGGATCAAAATAACCCGGATCAGTCATTCCGTGATATGCTAAGACGTTGTTGTTCCAGGTCAATCCTGTTGAACAAAGACGTGTGTACTTTTGCTGCAATGAGAAAAGGTTGTCTTGACGAATAAAGATTCATGCGATATCATCATGTTTTCAGGATATTCCCTCAACACACGTTCCCTTAATCCTACTGTTACCACAATATGGCTGCCACAATAACAACAACATAGTTGGCATAACGGAATAACTATAGCCTGCCTGAAATTCGCGAGGTAGATTATCAGAAACGCGTTTCTCTCGCTCACTCGCACAATATATCAGCCCGGTCTTTTTTATTAATAAAAACCCATAACCCATTTAGATCATTTCCGCCATGAAACGGAGACTAATTCATACGAAAAATATATGTAATGCTGCAAAATAAAAGAAAGGACATAATTCGCGAATAATTAAATTTTTTAATTTAATTTTTTTTAATTGCATTTCATTAGATTTTATACAGAAGCTGTGTTTGTTTGAAACAAATACATTTTATGTTTTCATTTTAAACAACAGTTCAATTGCAAAATTAGAGACAAAAAATACAGTTGTCAACAAACGGAAATTATAAATACGAAACAAGAAACGGATTAACGATACATCATAACATCAGTGCTCTGGTACATGCACATATAGGCATCGCAGAACAATCGTTTGGCATGTTCGGGTAGCATTTTGTCATTGGAAGATGTCTCATTTACGATTCGAGATCCCTCTTCGGAAAGCCATTGGGGCAAATCAGGCACTGTTATCATCTCGGGTATATTGTATCCATTTTGTTCGCCTGCATAAAAGAAATTTGCATATCATTAAAGAAATAATGGGGCTATATTTAGGCTTCCTACCCTTTCTGTCAGCCATAGAATCGAAAAAGCACCACGGAGCATCGGGACCCGAACCAGCCTTTACAAATGCTACATAATGGGATGTTTCAATACAAACAACTGCAAATAATTCCATGTAGAGTCGTGGCACGGTCATGATGTGATCGGCCATTACTCGGAAATCTTGAGGCACTGATAATTTACGATGTTTGTGTTTTCTCCTGTCAATATAAAATGTTATTTCTCTGTAACACTATAATATCTATTGCAATTCAAGTTCACCTTTTAACATGCATATGAACAGTTTCAAGGCACTTTGGGCAGAAGGACGTGCTTTCTAAGCCAACACCGCTCTGTAGGACACCAAAACAATCACGGCATTCAAATTCGGCTAACTTTCCGCAAACAGAACATTGTCGTGGAGCTAGAAAAAGTAAAACATAGTAGGAATGATTAAATTTTCGATTTGGAAGAATATCATTATTTTTATGAATGCCCATAACTTGTGTTTGGTTAGCTTGAAAATGTGGACCTTCTGTATTTGCGTATACGGCTGGGCATTTTGCCCAGTGTACTGATTTTAGGTAATGTGGCGTTTCCACTACACTTGATTCGCTCTCTATTCGTTGTTTGACCCTTAACTATGAAAAAACTACTTAATTCTTCACACAAAATTTCCTGAGCGAACACTCATATTTGTACGTTGTTCAAATCAAATCACTCTCAGAACAACGAAAAAATATGTCCCATCCCTAACAAATGAGAGCATTTATCGAAAAAATAAATTATGACATTTAAAAATTAAAAATAGGAAAATTTAATGAAATTTTAAAATTTTTTGGGAAGACTGAAAATTATGAATGAAAACTACAATGTTGAATGGCGTATGTACATTCAAACGAAAGTACATTTTGTTTTCTCTCTCATCCGAGGTGCGCATTTTGTCACGAGTTGAAATTTCCGCAGAAAACTGGAAACAAAAGATGCAATATTTTCAAAATGTTTGTGTCGGCAGGAAAAAAGTTTGACAAGTGTCTCTCCAGCAGAATTTGAAAATAGAAAAATACTAAAATAGGTCCAAAATGTCAACATTTACACAAAAAGTTGAAAACATGAATGAAAATTGTAAAATTAATGATATAATAAATCTTTGGGAGGAAAACTAAAATTTCTTCTATTTATATTAGTGTGAATTTAATGTATTTTCGTATAAATTCCCATTTAAATTAAACAAACAAAATTTTTAAAAAAAGGAATTATTTTACTATGAATTACGAATCGTGCCGTATGAACAGGTTAATTCGTGTACGTGATTCTGAGAGCAAACAACGTCATTCAACTTATCGTGTGAACATGCTATAAGGTTCTAAGTCACCCACCTAAAAACTACAACAAAGATAATTCAAGAAACCGCATGAACATTTCTTATTGTAAGCAATAGGTTTGTCCGCTTTCTCTCTCACTCTCTCCCTCTTACTAAACACTTTCGAGAGAAAAATCTCTTTTTAATGATTAATATTAAAATATTGTGAATAGAAAAAATTCCAACTTAATTAAAAGTTTTCAATTTTGTAAGGATATCGAAATATGTTTCAACAAAATGTCTTATACAAGCCACACACAATACAACCGTTGGTACAACCCGGAGTATTGTCAAGTTGTATGCTTCGGCCACAATCGATACAACTTTGTATACAACCTCTTTGTACAACTTCACTTTTCGAAGAGTTCATTTGAGATAAGACGACACCGGAAAAATGCATGCTCTATAATTGACTCAATAGCTTTTATTTATTATTAATTTTTTAAATTCCACATTATAAATTGAAATTCCATTTTATATACACATTCAAATCACACATTTGTTTGAATTTCGTATTGTTTTGATGTGCGAAACAATGGTGTTGCCTCTTCAAAAATAAAAACAAAATGAAATTGTATGCGACATGCCCAAAAACGTTACAATCGATTGGTACAACATGCTAAATATCCAAAAATTTTGATTTTTCATACAACCGAGACACAACTTCGTACAACCGGCCCACAAACGATACAATTTTGAATACAGGTTGTACAACCAGTTGTATTGTGTGTGGCTTGCATTAAAATTGTTTTGACGACCCACCTGTTGGGGCTTTAATGGACAATTTCTTTCAATTCTCAGAAAAAAATTTAAAAAATCTCAGTTCGTCCTCATAAAAAATTCTCGTACAAATTATTATAAAATATTGAGAACGCAGACGTGCTTGTCAAAGTTTGTTGTCCAAAAATGTAGACAAAACAAAAAATGTTTAAAAATTATTTTATTTGACAAAAAAATTGACTTTTTTATAAAATTAAAAATATATTCGTTAAATTTGTATAAATCTTACAAGACTTTGAGGAATCGCAAGTAAATGGTGGTTCTTTCAAATTGAATTGTGAATACACTTGTATATCAGGTTTACTTTACTTTGCAATTTTACACAATATAAAAAATACGACTATATTAACAAATGCGGTGTCACTTTTCTAACCTTAAAAAAATCCGCACTGGACGCGTTAACGTTTTACATAATATAGAAACCTGTATTCCTATTATCGGATCCAATGTCAGTCAAGAAATTACTTTTGACAACAAACTTTGTTGTTTTACACTTTTATGATTTGACTTTCAAATCAATATAATTCTTAAATATTGTTCAGAAACATTAGCACTTCCGTTAACTATATTGTTTAATTATTCACTTAAATTTGGTCACTTTCCTACTTTCTGGAAAAAATCTTACATTATACCTTTACATAAGTTTGGTAGTCTTACTAATGTGTCAAATTATAGAGGAATTGCAAAATTAAGTGCCATACCAAAATTGTTTGAAAAATTAATTACTGCAGTAATTTCACAGAAAATTCAATCTATATTGAGTCCATATCAGCATGGTTTTCGTAGTGGTCTTTCAACTACAACAAATCTTATAGAATTTAGGCCAACAGTAATAAAAGGATTTGTTCAGCGTAAACAAACTGATACAATTTATACTGATTTTAGTAAAGCTTTTGATAGGGTTAACCATGAACTCCTAATATATAAATTAAATTATATGGGTTTCAACACAAACTTAGTCAAATGGATATCATCTTACTTAAAAGATAGATCACAACTAGTTTTGTTTGAAGGGTATCTATCCAAAAGGATTAACGTTCCATCGGGTGTTCCACAAGGAAGTCACCTTGGACCGGTCCTCTTTCTTTTATTTATCAACGATTTACCTAATTCCATAAATTACTCGAAATTGTTAATGTACGCAGATGATGTTAAATTATTCATTTCCCATAATTGTGATAAACGATCTAGTTTACTTCAAAACGATTTAGATAGCCTTTTTAAATGGTGCAGGTTAAATTGTATGGAGTTAAATTTAAGCAAATGTAAGCATATGTGCTTCTCCAGATCTTCTTCTCTGATATTACAATATAATATTGACGGTCATTCATTATCTGTAATTAACTATAGATTCATTTGTCGATCTAGGCCTCTTGATGGATCCAAAATTAAATTTTAATAGCCATGTAATAACAATGGTAAATAAAGCAAATGGTGTTTTAGGTTTTGCTAAACGGTGGGCCAAAGAATTTTCTGATCCATATATAACAAAACAGTTATTTACGTCTCTTGTTAGACCAATATTGGAATATGGTTCTGTTGTATGGGATCCTCAATATGCAATATACTCAGATAAAATAGAATCCGTGCAAAAACAATTTCTACTATCTGCCTTACGAGGTTTACATTGGAATAGTGATTTTGTTTTGCCTTCTTATGCTAGCAGGCTAAAATTAATTATGTTGCCTACACTTAAAAGCAGACGTATATGTTGAACTCCATGTTTGTACTAAAAATATTAGATGGTAATATACCTTCAGATTTCCTAATCTCATCTATTAGAATTAATGTTCCGTTTAGATCTAGTAGATACTACCAATTATTATTTACTGATTTTCACCGCACGAATTATTCAATGGGCGAACCTCTTAGTAAAATGTGTGTTGACTTTAATTCTGTGTATTGTAATGTAGATTTTTGTATGAGTTTAGAAGTTATTAAATCTAGAATAATTTTATTTTTAAACAATTAACATACATGTTTTATTATTTGACGAACTAGCTGATGAATTCGATTCTGTAGCTGGTTTTCAATTTCCTACTGAATTCCCATTATGATGCGGATCATGATGTGTACACGATCCCTCCGTAAAGGGAGGTCGCCCCCTCGGTCGGCAGGGGTGGGAATGTGAGGCGTGGGAACGTTCGAAAAAAAAAAATAGCTTACTGGCTGACCTTACATTGGCTTACCACACATAGTGGTAAGGGTAATATGTGTTTGTGCATTTGTTTGTAACATGGAAAAGAAAGCGAGATAGACCCATAGTTAATTTTGAGGATCTTCGTAGAAACATTTTCTAAGTCGATGTATACATGTCAATTCATCCGTCTGCCCGTCTGTGAAGATCTCGCATTTATTATCCGATTAAGATGAAACAATATTTGTTTGGCCCAAGAACGAACCCTATTAAAATTGGTGAGAATCGGTTCAAATTTAGATATAACTCGAATATATATCTTCAACCGATTTCAGGTTTATTTAATACAGCCTTGAAGAATGTACTTTAAGTTTGGAGAAAATCCGTTCATCTTCCATACATATGTTTCACCCGCTTTGGGGTTTTAAGTCTCCCACATGCACAATATGCACTCCATAAGAAGATTTTATAGTGATATGTTCAGATTTTTATGTAGCTTTGATATCATCTTCATCCGATTTCAGGTTATTGTTCACCATAAAGGGTGAGATGAAAAAACTGCAACCAATTTCAGACTGCTGTCATTTCCAAGCCACTCTTCCAACAGCTGTTAAAATTATTCCAGTGACAGCTCATTATATTGTTTACAAGCGTACAAAAGCATTTTGGTGAGAATTTTCCAGAAAAAAGTTATTCGTGATGGAATTCAAGCGTGATAGTGTGATTTCTTTGTATTTGGCTGGAAAACCACAAGTGGCTATCGTTAGAGAACTCCAACATTTGAATGTGAATAAATCTTTTGTGTCTCGTACCATCGCTCGTTACCGTGATACTGGTAACGTAGCCCGGCGTCAATAAAGTGGACGGAAGACAACAGCAACATCAGCAGAAATGTTTCGTAAAGTAAAGAAGCGACTTGATCGAAACCCGCGTCGCAGTGGCCGAAAAATGGCTCGTGAGCTGAATATATCTCAATATTACATTATTGAAAAATTAGTTCGGGGTAAAGCCATTGAAATTCCAAAAAGTGCAAGAACTTACACCGCAACAGAAAGAAAATAGACTTAAAAGATCTAAAGAGTTGCTTCGTTTGGCCGAAGGTGGTGAACTGCCGAATTTGGCTCTCTCCGATGAGAAAACATTCATTGTCCAGCAGTTTGTAAACAAACAAAATGAAAGTGGTTACTTGCCAAAGAGTTCAGCTGAAAATATGCACCTTCGGTTGGCAACCAGAACTCAAGCGCCGGCCATGGTGATGGTGTGGGCCGCCATAACAACCGATGGTCGCTCTCCGCTCGTATTAATCGAACGTGGCATCAGAATAAATGCCGAATATTATCGCGAAAATATTCTGGAGGGTGTATTAAAGCCTTGGGCACGCAAACATTTCGGCCGCAGATCTTGGACATTCCAACAGGACTCAGCATCATCGCACTCAGCATGCGCCACCCAAAAATGATTACAAAATGAGGTTCCTCGCTTCATTTCCAGCACTCAATGGCCACCAAAATATCCGCATACCAATCCGTTAGACTATTGTGTCTGAAGTATTTTGGAAAGCACTAAAAAATACCAAAGTGTTGATCACCTCAAGCAAGCGCCTCGCCGGGAATGGGCCAAAATACCGCAGAGCAACATTCGGGCAGCGTGTGACGTTTTCTTTGGCCGTTTGAAGGCAGCGTTCGAAAATAAACAGTATGGTACTGTACCGATAATGTACCGTACCGGAGCGCAACCCTTTTTTTTTGTTACGGGAGCTTTGCAAAATACGCATATTGGTGTAGAGTATCATATAGTCGGCCCCGCCCGACTCTTGACCTTTACTACTGATTTTTATATTGGAACTCTTTTTCCACTTTCAAATGATTTTAAATTCAGTTCCATAACTGTATACGAAACACGAGAGCCATATTTTTTGTAAAATTAAAAAATAAAGTTGTCCGACGTTTGCGCTTTGAAAGAATGTGTCTTGTGACATAATTAGTATTGGATTTTTAATTAATTTTATGAGTTACTGACAAATATTTGTAAAGTCTAAATATGACAGCACTGCTGGTTTGGGTAGGACTTGTGACTACCTTATTTTGATTGCTTTTCGTTAATTACCGAAATAATCAGCATTTTAATTTTACCTATTTTTCGGTTGGTCAAGAAATATTTTTTTCTGTGACTTCCCTTTTAAAAACAGTTTGTCACAAAATAGTCAATAGTTTACAAGTTGATTGATTTCTACAAGAGCACAGGCCGACTGTATAAAATATTGCAATAAGGCAAAAACATATAATTATATCAACCTTCTGACACAAAATATAAACACTTATTCTAAACATACTTACAATCTTCGATAATGTCCGTCACATCTAATACTTGTGATGGCAAAATGCGTGGATACATTTTATAGTTCTTGCCAAATCTGGGCATTTGGATAATAAGACAGGAAGGCACTTCTTTCAGTTTAATGTCTGAAGTGAAGAAGCTCTGTTCAAATAGCTGCTGTACACTGGGAAATGACAAACGGTCGTCCTTCTCCACAAACAGCTGATAGTAGTACGCATCCTGACCAGAATTCAACTATATGAATATATTTAATTAAAGTTATATGCCTCTTCAAAATAATTGTAAAATCCGCGAATTACCTTAAGGAACGGTTCCGCCCTCAATATTTGAGCCAATAAACAGTTTAAAAATTCTTCCGGATCCTTTTCTTCACTAGTCAATCCGCTCACCGAACTAAGTTTGTCCAGTAGTTGACGCAACTTCATTACCCGATCAGCACGAACGAACATGTGCTTGCGCAAAGGATTAACAATTTCCTCCCTCAAAACGGTTTGTACTTCCGTGTAATGGCTTATATCCTTAAACAATAACAACACATACACACACCCATGATTTTTAAATTCTCGTAAAGAACAAGTTGTATTTGGCTTACCTCTTTGTCTGGCGATCTGTAAAGGACAGCATCAAACACAGGCGTGAATGCGAACATGGAAAATAACGTGACGTCCAAATAACACGAGTTATGATGCCCTTGGATGCCCTTAAACTTACCACACAATTCTTCCAAATCGTTTAAGCCGAAACATTCTTAAAATAATAAATATTATTTAAATATTTTTATGAAAAATAAATGTTCTCGGATAGTGTTCAATGTTTCTACTTTCTAGTTTAATGGCAGTTAAAAAGAACACCATTTTCTATATGTGGCATATGTGTTTATTGGTTCAATATTCAGTATAACTGCATGCTAAGCGCTCACATCGAAAACACAAAACCAAAGGAAGTTTCCTACTTTCCTTTATAATATATGATATACAGATGAAAATTGGTTTTTAGCAAAAAGTAGTTGAATTGCCTTTCCAGGTGTATAGAGAGCTGTCAAAATTATTATTTTTTTTACTTATTTATTTATATTCAATTAACACAGTTACATAGCCCCTAGGGCCATGGACGGTTCCAAAAACTTCTATACATAACTACTCTCCAAAAAAATACCACGGATGTGAATAACTTAAGACCTATTTTGTTTTTGTTTAATGTATGAAACATGATTGTGAGGGAGATAATGCTAAACATGAATGTCTAACTTCCTTACGATTACATATCACATTATGAGTTTGGGTTAGAGAGTAGTTATGTAACGAAATATGTCCCTTCTTTTTCAGAATTATCTTTGTTGTTTAAAATCACTTTGGCAGAGTTCATAAAATGTAAATATTGCTTTCAACCCTAATATTAATAAACATTGCACTAACTTTTATGAACATAGGAATTTATTTATAAATATGGATTGTAGCAAGCCTTATTCTTTCTTCAGGCTTGACTTTCTGCCCTTGAATGGTCAGGAAGTTCTTTTCGCAATACTTTTTACTATAAATGAATGTTTTAAAAAACACACCCAACTTTCTCTGGCGAAAGCCGTGTGGAGTCTCTCTACATAATAACAAGTTTCTTCCAACAGAAACAAAATTGTAATATACGAAGTAATATTTTGACCTATCTTATTATATTCTATCCTAATTTGTATAAGCGAACTCCCAAAATCATTTAAAAATTGTATGTTTTGGAGAAGAAAGTACTCTTTTGAGTATCAACCGCGCATCCCATTTCTTCAAGAAACAAGCTTCATATAATTATAATTATGACAAAGCTAACATTGGCTTCGATAGAATAGAATAGAATAGAATAGAATAGAATAGAATAGCTGCATTTGTAAGGCGCTTGTATCTTTCACCTAATCCTCTACTTTATTATTTTTTTTACTTTATTATAGTACTTTCTTTCTTATCAACCTAACATAATTACATTATTTTACGAAGCCAGTAAAAGGCTTGTCTGTAAATAGTATTTATAAACATGTTTATACAGATTTGATCTTATCCATTGCTATAGATTTCATTTTTAGTACTACATTATTTTATTACTTTTGCAAATAATACTTTTTTATGTTTTTTATTCTACATATTTTATGTTTAATTTCTGGAATCTCCTTTGGAAGTCCATTAAGTGTGCTTGGTAGAGCGACATCTAGAGCGAGCTTCCCATATTCGTTTCTAAATTTCGGTATTTTGTAACGTCCTTCAAGTCTTTGCAAAAGTTCTTGGCAGCCAATCTTCCAGTACTATATGTTATATGATTTTTGATTTCGAGTAAATTTTATGCATATCTGCCTATATACATACATTTCCCCATCTTACTGAGGCATAAAACCTTAAAATGGTTAAAAACTACACAACTTCATATGATTAAAAGTCCCATCCATTTTAAGCGATCCCCTACAAAAATATATATAAATATCAAGAACGGCATTCTAATTTTGATAAAAACTGTGAATAACCGTATCATATGAGATTTACGCGACAATTTTTCGCACACAAAATAATCTTTCTAAACATGTTTTCTTGATTTCTCATTTTTTAAATAATCTGTTTTAAAATCACATCGGATTCAAAGGAAGTTATACCACACTCGGTATTTGGATTCTTATTGCACGAGTTCTATAACCCTATGATGAATAATCCAGGTCATTATTGTGCCGTCAAATTATAAGAAAGATTAAAAAAAAACAAAGTCCAGCTTGAAAATGTCAGCACTTTTTTACGTGGGTATAGTGGATGTAAAATAAAACATATGATTTCCATAGGGTGTGTTCGGATCCGTTCTCTCAACACAGATTTGTAAATACATTGCTGTAAGTAACATAAAGAACTTGTTGGCTTCAACACACCTTTACATGTTTTCGTTTTACTCTAAAAAGAACATAGCTTCCAAGTGAATTATTTTTTATGGGCCATTTAAGATATTTTTACTAAAATAAATACTTCATTCCCATACATGTATCATTGAACATTTTAATTGTTATTAAAATATAACGCATAATATTTGGAATCCCATAATAGTCCCTCCTAACTGACAACACATACTATTTGGATAAATATCTACTGGTTTGGCATACTTACTTATTGGTGCAATAGCTCCGGGCACAATTGGACAATCCATATGTCCGAATGTTTGTGGTTCATCTGGTATGACATTCTGTTGTTTTGTCTTGTAATTGTTATTGTTATTGATAACGCTAACATCGTTACCATCAGCTCCTTCTTCAGCCGTGAAACGTCTATCGCTGGAACACTGATGCGACTCCACAAACAAACCACGTCCGGCTGGACATTTAAAGAGCCTTAGAACAAAGTAAAACAAAAGTTAAAACGTGTGAAGTTACGCACTATTTTGAGATTTGCTTACGATATGCCATTGAAACCGCCGTCAGTTGTTAAAAGCTGTTTATCAATGTAGTCATCTTCCAACTCGATGCCAACCATAATCGATTTAACACCCGGTGGAACTCCAATCCAGCGTATAACTCCATACAAGTGGCCACTCTCATCGGGCATGTTAACTTCAACCATCGATCCAACCCCCAGACCTGTGCCGGGAATTTCTGGCAACGGCGAACTTTCCGAAAAGTTTCCATCCAATACTGTTGGCAATAGGACTGGCGATTCGTATACATCTGTTGCGATCATATCATCAGTGGGAGTATTAGCATATATTGGTTGATTAGCAATTGTAATATTATTCTCATAGGGGATCTGTGGTGAGGCACAGCTACGACCACGTTCTTTTTTCTTGTGTGATTCTGAAGTGATTAAAAGTGTAATATACAGGACGGGGACAGATGTGAATGAGATGTTTAAGGAACAAAGTGTAAGTAAGGCCAATACAGACTATCGTCATTTTGGGAATGTTTCTTAAATGTAAGTATGTTGTATGTATAACCTGACAAATATGAGCCATATTCAATGGGACTTCCGATAGGAGATGTAGTGAAAAACTCTAAAACGGTCAATGGTATGTTGTGATACAGTGAAGCCTCATTGGGTGTGGCGGTTGATGCACGACCTATTTCCATTTCTTCAGTGTTAACTTTTTCCGCGTTTTATGTAAATAAGTACATATAGAATTTAGAAACACACACAAAAAATAGCTTAAAAAAACAAATATATTCGAGAAACCGATGCGTAAGAATCGTTGCAATATAAACAAACAACTAAAACGTTAAATGTCACGTCAAAGGGAATAAGGTATGAGCAGGAACAATACGAAGCGTCTTTAGCTCGCGAGAGAAAAACTCGCTACTCCGAGATTAAGCTATGTACACACAATGAATGAATAATCGGTTCATCAGAAAATCTAAATTTTATCTGAACATAATGAAAGCATTTTACAAAATGTACCTATTCATAGTTCCAGTTTTGTGCCAGAAGATCAGAAGAGGAAAATCTTTACATTGTAATACGAAATTATTTTCCATATAACATAGGCGTGAATTACCACCAACTGATTTGGTTGAATATTTTCTTTGTAAAGATTTTAACATCACTAGTTTGAATCTCAAAACACAAGGGAATCTAAAAATAGTTATGCAATTGTTCTCGCAATCGTTTTGCCTGCGCCACTCTCACTCTCCTTCGTCATACACATTCTCTCTTGATTTCAATGAACTGGCTGCGGAAGTCTTTGCAGGGAAATATTTGTACAACTTGACATAGAATATCAGTCGGCAAACCAGTAGTGTTTCATCGAGTGGAATATTCAATTTTCATTTTCTATGTAAAAATAAATTTCGAAATGCCTGAAGTTTAAATAAAAATAGACATTGCCTCCCATTAGGACCAAGTCGTTAATTAATCGAATAATTACACGATTTGTAAAAAGGTAGAAATATAAGTTGAATTTTATTATACAGGTCAATTTAATCATTTTTATATCCGATCAAGAGAATTAAATGGTCCATTCTTAAATGTGTAAGCAGCCGGAATTTATCGTTTAGTAGACAAGACCTCCACAAAGCAATTGCCAGCAGTTGAAAAGTGATACAAAAATGGCTGATTTGAAACCTCCTCTACAATTTTTTTAATTATGCCTGAAAGGCTAATTCTTTATAGGCCAGACTAGATTTAATATATATTTGTACTTCGATGGGTTGCAATATAATGAAAAAATGCTAACAAGTAACACACTTTTCAATATGTGATACACCAATTTACGCCAAGTGTAAGAAAGGTGTTTATTTTTTGATCACATACAACTCAATCTCCTAGTCCATGTCGCCAATACTACCTAGGGAATAAAGTTCTTTTGAAATTTGTTTAAATACTTACTTTGAGGTTTCCTATCGACATTTTTGTTCGATGAGACCGAAAAGTCATTCATTTTTTTCGTATTGCCACCAACTATGTGCGATAATGGATTTGATGACTTATTGCGATTGTGTTTTTGGTTGCCAGTATTACTACTGCCGTTACTACATGCTCCACCGCCTCCAACTACTGATGATTGTCGTGTGAGGGTAGAATTTTGCAATTTTTGTTTGTTAAGTATTGCAGCGGCGTCGCCTGCTGTCTTTGGCCAATCGCTACCTAACAACTCAACGAGATCAACGTCTTGACGTGTTTTGTCCAGGACAATTACTTCACCTTCATTTCGCGTTGACTCGTCTATGTCGGTGTTATCAATGACGACAATGTCCCGGTCGCCCATATTCAATACTGATGACGGCTTGGTTTGATCTGTACGTTTATTCTTGAGTATGCCTGACTGTGGCTGTGTTTGGGTCTGTACAGTATTGGTGGTGCGCCGCTCCAAACTCCGCTCGTAGTTTTCCACGGTTTGCTTGAACTCTTCGTTATCGGCTGTCATCACACTGGAATTGTCATTCTTGGAATCCATCTCTTTCGGTTTGGAACTAGGCGTATCACACAAAGTGTCGTAGAATGTGGCTGACGCTTCCTTTTGTTTGTTCTTTGGTTTTTTATCGGGTTTGGGCGATATGCTACGACTGAGCCCGCCACCCGTCAAAGCACTGCTTGGGCCGATCGCAGATTTAAATTTCTCAAAGGTTTCGCTCAAAAATTCTCGTGTTGAAAATTTTTTTTGTATGTCTTTCGGTATCGGTGTAACCCAATTAGCAGTAGCAAAAATTGCTAGTTGTGACTCACATTGCATGTAAACTCCACAAAACGGTATTTTGTCGGCTTGAGGGGAGGGACCACTGTCTAAGTGCTGGAAGTAAAAAATATAAAAGAAAATCTCTACAGAATCTCTGGAAATGCTGCAATGGGTTAGCTTTTAAATATGTATTTGCTAAATAATATGAAACACTTATTTCTTGCATAAAAATCAAGTTAATTTATTTCGCCATTGTCCACAGGTCAACGTTTCTTACCAGCCCGGCTTAATGAAGTAGAATTGTTTTGGTATAAACTGATCACGCTCAACAGTATTTTAACATTGTTTTTGTGATAGCTTTATTTCTATACTAAATTCAACAACATATACTAAATTATCAATACCTTCGTGCGATGGTCGGGGTGTGGGACTTTCAAGTCAGTTCAATCTGTAGCTGTATTGAAATTGTTTTATTTTTCATGGAATGAAATTTTTTGCTTTTAAAATGAAATGTTCGTAATTGTTACATTAAATTTGTGTTTTTATTAGGCAGATGGCATCCGTTTAAGGTATGTTCGTTAAAGATTCACACTTTTACATAGCATCGATAGCAAGTTTCTATCGTCGGCCAACGCCGAGTTTCAAACTTAAAACTTCCGATTTTGTAGTCGGACGATTTTTCATAACTTATTAGTTTTGACCTAACGGTAATGCATTGCGTAGTTCATTGACATTACCTTTTATTGGGTTATTCGGATCAAAAGCTCCAGTGTTTTAGCTGCGATGATTCATATATTTTTATTTTACAAGAAAAAACTTGAACAACTTTACAAATTTATAAAGGAAAACGTGGAAGTGGAGAATTCTTTAAAGGAATTGAATGAAACGATGAATTGGTACAAAAGTTGAACATTTTTTTGGGAAGTCTCTCACTCTGGTTGAAATTCCTATTATAGGTTAGGTTATAGGTTATTAGTCTATTTCATAATTGTGATTTTAAACATCTAAAAGGGTCAAAACAAATTCAAATTTCTACCGTCTGTCCACCTATCAAAAATTGGTCAAGAAAATTACAGTCGTTTTTCTTTTAACTAATATAGGTCCCACAAGTTGAATTAAAATTAATACGGAAGTTACGAAATGCACGGTCTAGGCTAAATCCCTCGATAATTAGTAAAATATGATTTTTTAATCCAGAAGAACTCGACACGCCAAATGACAGTTGAAATGTAGCGTGTAATGGAGCTACCCTCATATGAAGGTGACATCGACAAGGTTGGAAAGGCTTTACAAAATCGTGAAAAAGAGAACTAACTGTATGACCTTTACACTCAGAATTGCCATAAATGCACAAGATGTTATGTTTATTTGATTTTCTGACAAAATAAATAAAAAGACTCAAAAATGTAAGAGAGGTCAAGTTTTCTCTACAGAATCACTTTCTTCATATCATTAAAAATGTATTTAATTACAAAAAGGCCAAATATTATCTATACATAAGTTGAAAAAGAAACACTTTTTAGAACCGAATTTAAATAATTTGTATTCATACAAACATGACACAAAGTAAGCCATTTTGTCCACCAAGAGTCCTAAATGTCAAATTATAATTCAATCGCTGACTAAATTAAACGAAGAGGTTTTTCTATACAATAAGAACCCCAAGTGATAACTAACTGTTGACTTGATGCAAAAATGTGGCTAAAACTTGTCAGATTCTCGAAATTGAGAGCTACTCTTGTATGGCGTTTATAACAAACCGAGTATCTATGTCTAAAATCTTTGTATGAAGATTTTTAACCAACGAAGATAAATTAATGCGCGTTTTTAACAGCATTAGTTTGTAGAACACTCAATTGAATTTTTTAGTTCATATATGCTGTAATATGGAGGTTCTAATCGTATTCTCCAGCCATATAGCTGTAATTTAATATTTAAGAATCTTATATACTACATCTAATATCTATATATGTTTTAAGCTTTATCTTTCCAATTTTCTTATGGGCATACAATTTACAACAAGTGAAAGAAATGTTGGTGTTCTACATTAGGTCTAGTAAATGGGCGATATATTAGTCGTGGTAGTGATTTCGGATAGAAATTAACATTCACTGCAAAAATGACAATATATTCACGTAACGGACCATTTTATGTAATTTGGAGGTCCTAATCGTACTCTCCAGCCATATAGCTGTAATTTAATATTTAAGAATCTTATATACTACGTCTAATATCTATATATGTTTTAAGCTTTATTAATGAGTATTTCAGATGGGCCTAACTATAAGCCTCTGTTATTGTTTTAATTTCGGTTTAGTTGGTCAAAGGGCTTACCCACATTGTATTTCAGTTTTTCAAGATACATGTTTTCAATACGCATACAGAGACCATTTCAAAACAAAATCGATTTCCGCATTCCAGAACATCAATTTCTAACACAATGCCACTGATTTTTTTACATATAAATTTAAAACCCGTTCCTCCGCCCCAAATAAATACTTAGGTTTAAAGAAATGTATCAATTTTAAAACAGCAAAAGTTTAAAATATACGTTAAGATAGAAAACTCGGAAACACATGCCGAATATGCAAACTACCTGTCCATAATGTAAAGGGCTAAATCCACGGTCGAGGCCGTCTGTTTTCTTCACTTTATAATTAAGAATGCAAGAAAACGGCTTCTGGAATCTATACCTCGAAAGTGTGGACTTCGCTGATATATTTTTAAGAGCGATCTGCCTCCATCCACCAAACTCAAGTTGAGCTCTTCTTTTTTGGGAATTCTTTTCTTAACGTAAGTCAACTTGGTATAAGAACATTACCTGATGACGATGATAATGAAGATGTACGGTAAATTCCAAATTATCAAAATGCATGGAAGTCTACACGTTATTTCTTTTGACAATAAAAATGGGCAAGAAATGACATCTTATATTCATACCAGTAATTCCAGTGCAAAGAAATATCCCACAGGCTGTAATTCTCGTACGGGTCCAATATAACGAACAATACAGTCAAATCGTTGAGCGCTATTTGAGAACACTTCGCCCTTGACACTGACAAAATCGTTAACCTTTAGATAGCTAATCCATTTACAGTGTTCTGTGTTTTTAATCATTCGTAAACGTTCATCTGGATCAACTATACTTATGACAAAGGGCCACAGATTTTCTGGCACTTTTGTTAGATTGGCCTGTGGACATTCATAGAGATTTTCATATATCGGCAATTGGGATATCAAATCAAGTACTTGGACAGTACTATAAATTTTGGAACCCACTGACACCGGTCCTTTCCACTGATAAATTTTGATTAGCGTTCCGGCAGGGACAGTGAATTCATCACTGCATCCGTTGGCGCCAACGCCCTTCTCAGGCGGCACATCAGAACTGTAATGTAATCGTAGTTTGCTTGATCGATTTACAACTGCATATTTCGAAATTGTACAGCCATCCATCGCTCACCGTGACTCAATTTTGTATTTTGAAAAGGTTGGGAATGTGGGTTACTAAAGGGGGAGTAGAAGAAACAAAATATCAAATAAAACATACATACAAATATCAAATAAAAATTGATAAACCCGAGGAGGGCAGGATGAGGTAAAAGGTGAATGCAACGAAAAAAATTCTATCGCTGGGAAATGCAGTTAACGTGGATTGATTGACTCAAAGAGGTTCTGGGAATGATGCTGATGATGTTGATGCAGATGTACAATCAGGAAATTACTGTCGCCATAATTCTAGCAAATCTCTAAACATAAAGGCCTTGTATGCAGACACAAATTTGCTCAAATTACCATGTAATACTAATATTTGTAAACAGGAAAAGCAAAAACATCAAAAACATAATAGTGTTTGTTGACCCTGAATACTTACAGTTTACGATTTCGTATTGACAGGCACCTTGAAGAAACTACAAATACAACAACATTATTAGTCACTTCATTAACGATTTTCAGCTGGCTGTGTGCGAGCAAGTTCTTCAGCACGAATTGTGTTATTCCCCGTTTTCAGTTTTATTTTATATCGACAACAATAGAGTGATACGATGAAATTGAATGCAATTTTAGCAATTTCACGTATCGTCGAAGACACTTGAACAAGAGTGAAGCTCCAGCAAATTACGAAGCTCCGACCAAACACGGAATGCATGATAAAAACAAAATTCAAAACAAAAACAACGATTGCCTTCAGGGATTCATAAATCGAGACAGTGAACAGGGTTCTCGAAGCACAACATAACGACAGGTGGGGTGTTCACTTAATAACCAAAGAACTAGATACATCGTTTTTTTTCGACCAAATAACATGGTACAACAAGAAAAGGTTGAATAAAGGCATTGTACAATCATTACAAAGTAGGGCTGATTGATTACTTTTGAAAACCACAAATCTGAAGTGAGGATCTTATAGTTTCAAGTTTGCCAATAACAAATTCAACAAGTTTTTTGAAAATTAGTTGTTGTTGCAAAATTTTCTATTATTTTTGTTTTTATGACTGGTTGAACTTGATGAATGTCTGCAATTTTCAGTTCGGATTCAGGCGAGGTTATAGCACTGCCACTCACTTGTTGAAGAATTACTTCCAGTTCAGTAGCACTGCATGTAAATTAATATATTCATATCTGTACTAGTTATTAATAGTGGTGTCCCACAGGGATCCGTTTTGGGGCCATCTCTTTTTATATTGTATAAGTTATTACCTCAATGAAGTAAAACGCGAGAATTATGACCGTACTAATTTCATCCCTCAACAGAGGCGCAAAGCTTAGTTCAATACAATTTCGTACCCATGCGAGTCGCATATGTCAGCATTCTCTCATGGGTTTGGTTAGTGATACAAATAAACAACTACTTATGCTACAGCCACGCGCAGGAGGCTATGGTCTTAGACTTGCATTCCTTTAGCTACGCGCAGGCAGCTTAAGTAATGCGAGAATGCATAGTATGTATTTTAAAATAAAACAAGTAAAAAAACATTAAGTTTGGCCGGGCCAAACTTTTAATACCCTCCACCTTAGGGTAAAAGAAACATTAGAAGAGAAATGGCAAAAACCATTAAAATGCCGAATATCGGGAGGTACCGTTATATGGGAGCTACACCAAAACGTGGACCTATAATTACAATGTTTCGCTACACAAACTAGGACCCATTATGACCCACAAATACCAATTTTTAGACAAATCAGTGAAAAAATGTGGCAAAAACCATCAAAATACCGAATATCGGGATGTACCGTTATATGGGGGCTATATAAAGTCATGGACCCATGCATGCAATGTTTCGCCACTGAAGCTGGAACCCATTATGACCAACAAATACCAATTTTTAGACAAATCCGTGAAAAAATGTGGCATAAATCATCAAAATACCGAATATCGGGAGGTACCGTTATATGGGGACTATACCAGAACGTGGACCAATATATCTCATTTTCTATAGCAACCATCCTAGACACAATGCAAATAGCTCTGCTAAATTTTGGCGCTCTACGTCAAATAATGTGGGCTGTATCGTGATTTCAACAGACAGACAGACGGACATCGTTCAATCGACTTAGAATTTTATGCTGATTATGAATATATATACTTTATGGGGTCTAAGACGAATATTTAAGGATGTTAGAAACTGAATGACAAAGTTAATATACCCTCCTTTCCAAGGTGGAGGGTATAATGATATGAGTTTAGTACCAACAGGTTGGTTAACTTATTAATAGTAGCTTGCCCGCTGTTGAACGCCCCCCCCCCCCCCCCCCCCCCCTTTCAATCGGGGCGTCTCTGCACCGACTAGCTATCTGGAATTCAATTACCTTAACGTCTAGTGGTTCTTTCTTTCGTCTGCGTATAAGTATTATGACCCATGTGATGAATGGTATCACCATTATAGTCGCAAATGATATGAATCCTAGTCTATGCGACTGTATCTCATCCTTCGCTGCCTCCAGATTATCAGTGTTCTTCAAGTAGATCTCATGAAGAAAAGGTAGTGACAGTTTTACTTCATGGCCCGTGTTATTTATGTTAAGAGTTTTTGGAGGGTGAATTTCCATCCATTCGGTAGTTTGTTTTGCATTGAAAAATAATGGTTTCAAACGTTATGACTGCCGTTCCTTCGACCATTATGTTACCAGCGTCCGTTATGTTTGTGCTGTGGACGTTGTTTAAAAGAATTACATCATCCGTTATGGTCTGAATGAGAGGTATGTTGTCGCTTGACTCTGTTGGGCATGTGTATAGCAATATTGTTCAATAAGTCAGATAGACAGTCGTTCGAAGTGACCTTGCAGATGTTGGCGTCCCCTGCTTTGATACAGTTGATGACTAGGGGATTTTTTCCGTTTAATTCAGCTGCTTCATTGATGGATAATTTGACGACAGAGTCTTGATGTACTACTGGATATACTTTTAGACACTTGCAAAATTTAGTGATTAAAGGTACTTTAATGGTATAGAATATAATATTATTGTTTTGAAAAATGCTTATATTACTAGACTTTAGTATGTTATCTACGCTTATTGGTACCACTTCATTTTCAAACATGTTTTTAATTTCTACATTATCTAGGATTATTGGGTTTACAATATTTGCTTTTGCTAGCGTAATGGACAGGGCTAGTTGGTTTAAGAAAATAAAAAAAAAAACATCCCCGTTTCTTGCAGTTATTAATTCGAGAAGTATTAGTTCATCCACCCCCACGACATTAGACGCTTTGCAAGTGTCCTGTAATACGTTAATTCTTTCGGTAAGTTTGTTAATTTTGTCTCGTAGCGCGGAGTTAATGTTGGTCTGTCTATTGTTGTTCTGGATGAGCAAGTCTTCTTTTGTTGAAAGTAGCTTGAAATCAGCGTAGTCTGGAGTTCCTGCAATGACTTTGAGCGCTGAACCAATAAAATCAAGTGCTCGAGCGTGCCGTCTGTTTATGCGGAGTGTTTGAAGCAGTCTAGGAATTTGTTTGTTTTGCTCCCTAACGATATTCGTTACCCTGGTGTCAGAAAAGTGCTCAAATAGTTCCTCATTTTCATTAATTATGCGTTCGTAATCCGTCAGATTCGTTCTGTGTATCATGTATGAGCAGCTTTCGTACGTTGCTGCGTGTCCATTCGAAATTGATATAAAGTATGCGTCCGAGTAGTTCACAATTTTTGGTGACACCGACGTTGTCAGTGACAGGAGAAATCTATAAGAGAGAAAAGTTTATCTTAAATTACTTTTATGGACGCGTTTCCCGTCGTATTGTACCCTCGACGTACCACTTATCAAATTTATTCCCTAACCTTCTGTTCCTCTTTACAAACACCTTTTCGCCGGGCTGAAAGGTCCGAGAGGAAGCATTCTCATTACATGTTTGTAGGGTTTTATAGTACGTTTATATATATGAGGGTTAACCCACTGCATTTGGATTTAAATTGTCATATCCATTACTTTTACTTCAAATAAATCCTCTCAAAGTAGGTTAACCCTACAAAAAGTTCTAACGTAAACATGGCATTATGCTTAGCTGTTTTCAACCTGTTTTTAATATCGTCAGAAATTTGTTGTGGTTGTGGTGAATTTAGAACGTCTATTGTCTTTCTGTTTATAACAGAATGTTGGAATTATTGTACTTTAGTGTTGATAAAAATATGATCCGTTTTGGGGCCATCTCATTTTATATTAGTTGTGTTCCAGTACTTTTTTAGTAGTAAAACTAGCAGAAGAGAGAACAGTTCGAAATGTAATACCCATTTAGGTTTGCTCAAAAAATAAGGGAACGGAAAATTAGCAGAAATGCGATAAAATGTCAAAATTCAAAGTTCCAAAAGTAAACAGCCTAAACCGGACTGGTGAAACCTTACTGAAAAGGGCGCCAACATTTAAAAAATGAGTATTGAAGACGATAAGTTAAAATTAATAATTTATAATAATAATTACTAATCAGATTCCTCATTCAGCCAGTCCTCTTCACTGCTGGAATCATCCAAAAGTGAATACATCAGTTGCTCCATATTTTCTCTTTTTGTTTTTTGCACGACAAATATTAGTTTTTCCTTTAGTTTTCAAGTTGATCATTTTCTTTATTGAAATGTATCAATACATTTTTCAACCTTGTTAGCCCTGCCAATTAAATGTCAAATTTACAATATGCACATTTCTGCTCGGCCAAATTCATGTAGCTTAAACAAGCAGAAATGTGCACCATTCAGCGCCATTTTTTTGTCGAGAGAGCTGCAAGTTATGCTAGTTTTTGGAGTACGGGAACGCGTTGTAGCAGAATTATTGCTAATTAGTACTAATTTGCAGGTTCTGGAACACAACTATTGTATATAAATGACATTGCAGACAAGATCAATATTCACCCTTGTGCACCGTTCAGTAATGTTGACGACATGCATCTGTTTTTTAAGAATAATTTGATTTCAAATTCTACTAAAAAATTCATTGAGAAGATTAACGTCAAATGTATTCTCAATCGAGTTAAAATCCTCCCCCACACACAACCACCAGCACGTATCTTTTTCCACTTTTCACTGCAATCCAGACCTGCAAACATATTTAAGTAGAATTTTATGCTCTCTTTTCTTAAAACTGATTTAGGTTTGTTTCTGTCACGGTAAAATCAGGAAGGTAAAGTCATGCAATTATATGTTTAAAATTTTTTTCAAAATTATTCATTGATAGCATCTCATTGTCACAGTATTTATTTATAACTCCATTGTACATACACAAATCAGAGATGGGAACCTACCTTCTATGCAGTGAAATTTGACAAGGTAAATTACAGAAAATGCAAAGATGGGAATGCTTATTTGAAATGACTTAACCTTCTTGATTTTACCCTGCACATCATTTAAATCAAGTATTTAGAGAGTGGTGTGAAATTGTGAAGCATATAGTCAACTAATGATGCGATGAATGAGAAACATCAAAATGTGTGGGAAGGAAATTATGTACTATCGAAAGATCCAACCTCATCACTGAATCTCTCATTTTCGTGGACTTATAAATATAAAATAAATTGTTATATGAATAGGATGAAGAGTCAACCATTTGTCTAAGGTTTATGTTCATAACAAAAGTGAATTTAATTAGTGAACCCAAATTTAATAAAATATACAATTTTTAACAAGCAATTACCAAGAAAGATAGCAAAAAAAATTACAAAAATATTAATT